TTAGAGGAGACTGAGCATTCTCTACTGGGGGCCTGAAGCTTCGATGATCTTCCTCTCCACATTTGCCAATCTACTTCAGTGGTGGTTTTTAAAAAGGTTAAAAATTCATTTTTATTTGCTGGCTTTTGACTCAGTAGGTAACTGACACTGTAGTTTCTGTTATTTATTTATTGTAGTTTTTATAATTCTGCTGAGCAGTAATTTGGTCGGCCGTGTGTTGTTTTAAAGAGTTATATAAATAGATTATGGTATGTAAATCTACCATGATCACCACAGCTGTCAGGAACAACTCTGATACTGTGCAGGTACAAAATCACGTAATCAAAAACAATCCACCTCTGAAAGACAAAGAACACACATACACCAACAAACACACACTGACAGCAAAGGAAGAGGGAGAGAGATGGTTGGACTGCCATAGTCACACTGTCACAGTGTAACACTAGTGGACAAACATCCTTCATCTGAGTGTTTATAATATAGTGTTTAGCTGACAATCCTCAAATCAAATGACAACACGTGAGAAGAATAATAAGGGCAACAAGAACATTATATTTGGTATTAATATTAATATTAGATATATTTGAAAATGATGGGCTGTGGGAAGCCCTAATCATGACAGGGTTAAATAAAACACAATCAAAGTATCTTATTGCTTTTCATGGAGTCCAGTAATTTGGGCTTTCTTGTTGTGATAAGATTTTTATGCTCTTCATCCAACTTCCTCCCCACATCGCTCTTCCACACCTGTTCCCAGTCCTTCTTGGTCTAAAAAAAAAACAAAAACACACGCACGCACACACATACACACACAAACACAAAAGAAAGCAAATAAAGTTTACAGACTACTGAGGATAATCAACTATGAAAGCTTCTTTATTCCCAGCAAACAGATGCAATTTCTCACCATGTCTTTGAAGGCCTCCCCCTTGTAGTAGGTCTTGGATGCTGGATACTCCATCCCTTCATCAAGTAGCTGCTTGACACTTGAAGCCACCAGATGAAGCTCCTCTCCATCATAGGCGTACACCTGTTTGTCCTCACAGGTCATCAGAACGAGCTGGTCGCACAGACATGAGATGCCCTCCACAATGCCAACAACTTGCATGTTTACAGTCGTTGGAAGGTAGAATCTTCCCCAGCCGTTTACATCAGCAGGATAATCTTTGTAAATGCTGTTCTCAAGCTCTGCTTTCCTCAAAATTGCACCATCGGGCTTGTTTAAGGAGAAAAGTGTGCCTTTATTTGCAGATTCAAACTGTGAAACAGCTGCTGGGAAGTCCTCATCTGCAACACAAGGCAGACATTTAAAAGGTGTTTGAAAGATGGAAAACACATTATGGCTTGTTTTAAATAGCCAAAGATGATTGCATCATACCTTTCCTTCGTTTGGACAGAGGGACATCCTTATCCTCAGCCACCCCATGTTTGTTACTGCGAGTAAAATATTATTGTGTTAAACAGATATAATGTTGAGAATTGCTTGTTTCATTATGCTCTGTCTCTTCTCCCTCTGAGTGAAAGGCAGCCTTCAATGAGAGGTTTTGTGTCCACGTCCAGCTGATACCTGGCAGTCCCTGGTAAGTGTGCTACATCCTCTTTGATGCACTCAGAAATGTCGCCTTTCTTTGACATTTGGACCTTATAGTAATTTGCCATCAAGAATAGTTAATGTAATTTTTGTTTATGTTTGAGTAGCACAAACTCCACTTAACTTGTGCTGCAGCTCAAGTAGCTCAGATTCTGGGGGATCCACAGCTGGATTATTGGACACAACTGGAAATAGAAACTCTTCCTCAGAGTAGAAACGATGTAAAGGTCTGAACCGCTCTGAGTTAAGCAAAGAAGCAGAAGCACTGAGGAAGAGCTGAGTAGTAAATGAAAAGAAGTGGAGACTCTAAGTTGTTTTATTTCAACAGCAAAACTCAAGGAATCAATTTCAATATGACAAAGAATCCACAAACGTTTTCTTAGCTGTGCATGTCTGCGCTTTTCAGGTGACCCAACCAGCCATGGCTTTAAACCTCTCCAGCCCACTTCATGGGACACATGTGGGCCATCTTCAACTCATTCCAGATCTTCATGGTATACAAGAGGTTTTATTGTCCAAATCCAACAAGTCTCTGCTCAGCTTCTTTGATTTACATTCCTTACATCAAAAACCTTGACCTCTGTCTAAAACTAGAGGTGGGCGGATCGATCCAGATATCGATACTATCGATACCAACATTAGAATTGGTATCAGATTGATATTAGCACGATTGGATCGATACTTTGCTTTTATCCTTCAAACTCAGTATGTATCCTGCTGAACTGTGCTGATTATTCCTTTGGAAAATAAATAAACCTCAAACATGCATTATGAAAAATGTCTGCACCTTTTTGTGTGCTTTAGAGACAGAAACATTGAAATTCCAGGTCTCCAAAAACCCCAAAACACACGACAAGCTGAAAGGTGTGTTTTGTTGTGTTAACTAAATATTGTGGAAAGTAACAATCACAGTGATATAGTGGTGATTAAAATGTGTTCAGAATTTGCAAATTCATCTCATAAGTCATGGCATACTACTCTCTCCTAATTAGCTGCCTGAATGACTTACAACTATTGGTACTGATATCAGCAATACTGGCCCAGTATTTACTAAGTACTTGATCGATACCAAAATTGGTAGTGTGACACAGCTCTACTGTGAATGAGGGGAAAATGTGAATGTTGAATGTTCTTGTTGAAATGTCCAGGCAAAGAAATACATGTTAAATGACAAGATATTACTGTTCAAATAGCGTCAATTAACACACAACTTCAGGGTTTTTTTTTTAATTTCTATGTGATAATGCTTCATAACTAAACAATAAGAACAAGTTGTTAGATGTTCTTTGATCATTATGAAGGTATAATCTGAAATACAATAACACATTAAGTTTTTGAACAAAGTACTGATATCAGATCAGAATGATTATACCACCTTGAATTTTACTTGGTATCGGATCAGAAAGGAAATCAGTGGTATTGCACATTACTATCTAAAACCTTGTCGTATAATCTCTACTTTATTTAACCTGGTAGCGCCAAAATCTTCTTTTAATAACTGTTTAAGGAGAGTTTTACATAACTCTGATCTCTCATGTTACTCAGATTTTAAACCCCAACATGTCCAATCTGTAATTTTCCAAAATAAAAGCCTCAAAATGTTTACACTTACAGCAGCAGAGACAAATAAAGCCTCCCTAAGCTGTGCTGGTAGGTTCCAACCTGAGATCTAAAATTGACTCACTAGAACAAAACTTAGTGAGATTACAGAGGAGGGACACTGGTTCTTACCTGCTGTCCAGCATTACAGTTGATGTTGCCATTTTGGTTCTCTGTCACCTACAAAATGAAATAAGAATTTTTAGAAGCAGCAGTTTAAGTGAATATTTCAAAACTTTATTGATGCACTTACACATTAATAAGACAATAACATAAAAAAATTTTCACGTTTTAATTCAAAGCTTTCAAATTAAAAACAACTTTTAAAAGACAAAAACAAACTGTAAACTGAGTATAACGGTAGAAACAGCAAAAAGAACAAACCATTTAAAAACAATCCTACATTAATAATGATCAAAATCCCTTTTTAGGATGCAAGTTTAGAATTTTGTAATAAATATTAAACTTTTGACATACAACTGGATTTAAATATAATCTTTACGTAGTTGTTTCTCATTATTTAAATGTAACACTCAAACCTGGAGTTTGTCTCTCACATGTAAAACTTCATAGTGTGTTCTGTTTTTTGTAGCTTTTCATCAACACAATCAGTACCGCTGAGAACGGACTTTATCACTGAGCTAAAATCTTTCATCTTTAGTCAAATAAGTATTTTAAATAGATTATATTTTTAATCAATCCAATTCTGCAAATAAAGTGATTTGTTCGTTTTCGTGATACATTCGTTATTCCAGATAATAGTTATGGATAGTAGTTTCCAAGCCAACAATGCCTGTTGAGAAAATGCAGACATTTTAAAATGGTAATTTTGATATACCGTATTTACAAAACAATAAGAACTGTAGACATCCAATGTTCCTAAAAATGTTCTGTGGAATGAAAAGCCATAATGATTCAGGAGATTTTATGTCTTCTTTTGGCAATTTCACCTTAAATGTAGTTCAGGTCCTTGAAGTCCAGAAGCCAAAACCACCTTTATCTTTAGGTCCACAAAGTAATGAGTTTTTTTAAAGAGCTGGGAAAGAGCTGGATACACAAATCTGGAAACACCTTCACCTTTAGTCAAAAGGATTCTACCAAAAATTGATAGGGCTCTTTGGAGCCATAAGTTCATTAAAGTTTTAGTTTTATCCATCCTGGGCAACACGTTCTCACTCCCAACTCGTCAAATGTGTGACGCATGGTCAGGCTCCCTCTGCTTCAATTCTCGACGCGCAGGGTACCGCCCTCGCGTCGAGAATTGACGTGCAGCGTCCTCTCATTGAATACTATAGAGCTCCCTAAACGTTGCTTATTGACGACAAGAGATTGCCGCGGAAGAGCCTGTTGTCCGTATATTTATATATTTCCAAAATCACATTGTAGTGACGTATACAGAACACAATATTATTAATTATATAATTAAACAACTACCTGGGAAACAGCAGATACAGCAGATAAATTAATTATAGGCTATTACTTTTGTATCGTTTATTGCATTTATGGAGGGAGTGGTGTATGCTGGGTAATGGCACAGCTAGCGACTGGGTGACTTTATTCACCCGCTTCAGCTGTTATCAGTCCATACAATGGGCGTTATTAGCCCAAATCAGTCCCATAGATATGGGCCACCTTCTGCTAGATTGTTCAGAAGGTTGTTATCATCCATCCAGATGGAGGATCACTAACAGGAGCGTGGGAAGACTCCAGAATCCACTCTGGCTGGAATCCGGTGGATACAGCAGTGTTTACAGGTAAGGCCGTTTAAACGGACAGCATTTATAGAATGACTATTAAAAGCCAGCGAGTGTCAATAATGTTAATGTGGTTATGTTAGTAATACACCGAGTGCTAATATAACAGCTTTAAGATGCATTTGTAGATATTATTACGTGTTTTACTGTCTTTATGGTGCTAGCTTAAAGTTACGGTGTAAACGTTAGCCTATATAGGAGTAAAGCTGTTACTGTTTAAACGATGTTAGCACAGAAATATTAGCTTCTGTCATGACTGATGAAGTTACTAGTTAATAAAGTTTCCAGTAAAGTGTTTAATCGCAGTCACAGATTGACAGCAAATATCTCGATTAGCTTCAGTGCATCTGTAATAAATATGTGCAAGTTTCAGTGCTTCGTTTAAACTGTATGATACTTATACTGACCCAGGGTCAGTGTAAAATACAATCCTAGCTGTGTGAACAAAGCCTCCTTTAATCCTGGATGACAAACCTCAGGATGCAGGTTATTATTACTCTTTCCTGCTGGCACACCTGTCACACCTGAGAGTCAGCTAGAAACTTACAGTGACGTGGACATGATGCAAGTTTGTGTTCCAGAGGGTGATGGGAACACAAACTTGGAGTAATTAGGACCCTACACCACCGGGCAGAACATGTTCCCTCTAAGCCTGAAGGAAAAAAGGAGGAACACACACATATAAAGGAAGCACTCAAAACGTGCGGCTATCCTAAATGGGCGTT